AAAAAAAATATATATATATTAAGCAGTGCCAACTAGACGTTTAAGAACTTTTCATATTTTTTATGCTAATTGTAAAAAGTGTTTCTAAAAATGTAACAGTTTAGGAAAATAAAAACATAACAAATAATGCCAATTCGTGGTCAGATATTGAGGTTATGTTGAATGTGGCATAAATTTGTTTTCTAATTTTTTTTATTTTCTGAAATAATATCACTTTATATGTTGAAAATCGAAACTTAATTTCGATTCTATTCAAAATGTAGTAGACTGAGTTTCTCGATAGATTAGATTTATGCTTAAAATTAGTTAAACGTTATAAACTAATTGTGTATAAACCAAATTGAAATCATAGACTCCAGTACGATGCTGATCTCCTTTGAATCTGTATATGATTGGTCTAGTGTTTTCCAGGTTTCGCATTAAATTATAACACAAGCTTTAGAAACGTACACACTACACAGAACATACATTGGAGATTTGGGCGTTTAGGTAAAAAATTTAAAAATTACTTGATGACGTTGTTTAAGAAAGCGCTAGGCACGAAGCGGGCGGTGATCCAACGTCTAGTGCCTAAAAAGCTTAATCAGAACCTAGGCGATTTAATAGGTGGTCTAAGCGTCTTACAAAAATACATAATATATTATATATATAGCAAAATATATAAAAAACCATCATTTATAAATAATAAAATTTATATTGTATTTATGTCCATCATTTTATAGCAAAATATATAGATTATTACGATTTATATATAAAAATATTTATATTATTTTATTATTATAATACTTTAATATTTTACGCGACATAGACAGTAATCTCCATAGTCCATATCCATCATTTGATGAATTAATTTTAAACTATCATATCTCAAAACTCCAATAACGCCAAAAGAGCCGTAATTAATAATAAAATAAAGTCAATGGAAGTGTTGGGCGATAAGATGAGATATTGTTAATTGTTCTAGTGATAATCTAGAAAAAGATGAGTCGTAAGCTATGAGTTCAAAATAAAATGAAATACTTTACAACTAGCAAATCTAGAAATTAAAAAAAAAAAAACATCAACAGAACCATTTTACGCAAAATGCCAAATAATTGGGGGTTACTAAAACATTGGTGTAACGCTCAAGAAGAATATTACTTAAAAATAGTGATAGAAAGATATAAATATTCTTAAAAGCTGTAAGAGTTTAATAAATATCATTCTTATTGATTTCTGCCTCTTCCTCATCTTTCAGTATGAGAGAACATTTATAGGGTCATACCTTCTGAGTTTAAATACCAGTATGAGAGAATATTTATAGGGGTTTTAGATGGAATTTTAAGGGAGTTTTTCCTAATAACAACACACGGAAAATTATGAAAATAAGACAAAAAAAACTAAAATTAAAAAGTTAGGTCATATATTTTATAATTAAAAAAAATGGCTAGTGTTGACATATTTATTCTTTTATTTAAATAAACAAATTATTCATATGACGTCTTCCGTATGTTCGATCTTCTTTGTAAATAAACAAATGTGAATGATCTTGGAGTACACATTTTTGTTTTTTTTGTCTCTTGAATGATCGGAAATATGAAGTTTTGGAGAATTGAAGAGAAAGAGAAGTTCTATCTGATGAAAATCTTGGAGATATGTGGATTTAGAAGAAAGGAACTTTCTAAATATTATGAGGCATACGTGAATATATATCCGTTATTGTTCTTAATTTATTCACTAAATAGGTTCTTGTAAGGAAAATGGAGTGTTTGGATCATCTTTAAGCTGATAGACTTAGAATCTTCATCATTGTTTTATTATCTTTAAACTACCAAACATCAAGTTGAGTATTCAAAAGATGATGAGATATGTTGACAAAAAAAAAAAAATGATGATGAGATAACGTGAGGAAGAAGATGCCGTGGCCATCTCTAGTTCTCTACAAAGACCAAAATCAATAGTGGGAATGTATATTCTTTCCCACGTAGTAGTTATAATGGTTTTGTGGGAATGTATATTCTTTCCCACGTAGTAGTTATAATGGTTTTATCGTAATTTTACACATTAAAAGGACTATATTTTTAATTATAAAAAATTGGCCTAT